TTCTGTAATATACACTTAAATGATTGTACTGTAAAATATTAACTAAGAAATGGCTACTTAATTATTATTCAAATGTGCATTTAATAAAGATTATGAAAGAAGTTATCTGTTAAGCTTTCTGGTCTTAATTCTGCTGCAATGTCTCAAAATATCTTTTCTTAGTACGACCTAATCTGCCACCCAGCTATTAACAATGTTGGATTAGGAGCCTGCAACTTATTGATAAACCAACTGCCAGGGTAAGACGACTTTTAGAAATACAGATTTTATATTGCTCTTGGTCACATTCAATTTTGTATTAAGTAAGAGAAGCAGCTAATTAAATGGTATTTATCTAATGTGCAGCAGATGCATGGTAGTGAATTATTCCAGTCTTCACTGGTTTGACTATAGTAACCAGAATTTAAGCATGTATTTTGATATTTCCTTTAAGATATGGGTTGTTGCTTTTTTTTTAAACTCTTTCAACAGCATGAGACTGTTCAACAGAAAGCCTGTGTTTAAATATGCTAATGAAATAATCTCTTAATAATAGTGGAGTAAGAGTTTTGCTAGTTCCAGCATATGAAGCCATCATCTTTGAAGATAAATTTCAATGAGAAAATGAACATGAGCCAGCAGTGTGAGCTCACAGCTCAGAAAGCCAACCGTATCCTGGGCTGCATCAAAAGGAGCGTGACCAGCACGTTGAAGGAGGTGATCCTGCCCCTCTACTCTGCTCTTGTGAGACCTTACTTGGAGTATTGTGTACAGTTCTGGTGTCCTCAACATAAAAAGGACATGGAACTGTTGGAACAAGTCCAGAGGAGGGCCACAAGAATGATCAAGGGACTGGAGCACCTCCCATATGAAGATCAGCTGAGAAAGCTGGGGCTATTCAGCCTGGAGAAGAGAAGGCTGCATGGAGACCTCATAGCAGCCTTCCAGTATCTGAAGGGAGCATATAGGGATGCTGGGGAGGGACTCTTCATTAGGGACTGTAGTGGCAGGACAAGGGGTAATGGGTTAAAACTTAAACAGGGGAAGTTCAGATTGGATATAAGGAGGAAATTCTTTCCTGTTAGGGTGGTGAGGCACTGGAATAGGTTGTCCAGGGAGGTTGTGAATGCTTCATCCCTGGCAGTGTTCAAGGCTAGGTTGGACGAGGCCTTGGGTAATATGGTTTAGAGCGAGGTGTCCCTGCCCATGGCAGGGGCTTGGAACTTGATGATCTTAAGGTCCTTTCCAACCCTAACTGTTCTATGTTTCTATGATTCTATAATGGAGAATATTTCTTTAAATAATCATGGATATCTACACCATTTCTTTAACATGGCAGATAATCACTTTTGTGCTTTAAAATGGAAAGTGTGCAATAGACCTGATGAAGGGATAGCCGACTCAAAATTTAACTTAATTTTTGTCTCTTGTTTTCTTGTAAGTGCCTAGTAGAAAGACATTTATGAATTTTCTGATATGTTTCCAATGCAAGACTATTTAAGGTAGGCTGAATGCCCTGCTTACTATGATACATTCACCATTAGGAATTTCATGCCTCAGGGAGAACATATCTAGGATAAAGAACATAGAGTAATAAACAGTAAACAGTATCTAATCAGGTTAGAGCTGAGTGCCTGAGTATAATTTCCTTGGTGTTTGTCTTGGTGGTGTTAACTATTGATATATCTTTCTGAAAGTAGTACAGAGATACAGTTTTGGCTGATGTTTTGGTTTTGAAACTGTGCTAATATTCTTACATATTTCCTTTAATTTACCTAATTATACTGATACCTTAAATATTACATTCTTACATCAAATGTGGCTGTTTCCAATATTTTCTCTATAGTTTGATTAGTTTCAGTTCCCAAAGTGAGGTAAAAGTCTGCTTTAGAGTTTATTAAGATATGTCAAACAGCATGTTAGAAGGTTATCCCATTACAGATAAAAGATCTCACGGAATTTGGGGTCATAAATATTCATATTTCTTTCCATTACAAATTCAGTCTATTTCATAAAAGAGTGGAAAAAAAATCATCCTCATTTTTTGACATCTATATTAAATAGATATAGGTAACAAACTAACTTGGCTTCCCACTACAAGTTACCCATATACACAGCACAATTCGGACATTTTTGATAACAGTGCAACAGATACAAAATTTAACTGTAACTTTAACCTAACAAAAATCAGCATATGATCTGATAGCAACATTAGACATATTTAAGCGTTGGTGTTTGAAATCAAACTTATCTCAAATTTAGAAAAGTACATCTTTCAGCTTTTTAAAAACAATATTATTTTCACTTCTACATATGCATTCAGTTTTGAAGGAATGTTTAAATTGCCATTAGACTGGAGGTCATTAGACATCTCCGTATGTTGTTTCAACTGGCTCCTTAGTAGCATATATTTTAGAGACTATTATATTGAATTATCTAGAAAATGAAGGAAAGAATCTTCTACTTAAATTCTCAGTCATATTTTAACTTAGCAACTGAGCATGTCTACAGGAAGGTATTCAAAGTCCTTTTTTTGCAAACAGCTCCAAGGGATAAATGGATGATGTAAACAACAAACCATCAGAGTTGCAGGAAAGCAAAGTGTGATTCTTTTTCCTAGGTGAGTGTGGAACAAAACAAGGATGACAAGAGAGATTATGAACTAATAGAAAAGTTCAGGTTTTTCACTTCTGCAAACACCTGCACTTCCAGCAGTTTTCGGAATCAATGCTATTTAAAAATTACTTTAGGGACTTGTACACACAATGTTTTCATTATGTAACACAGACAGGATCACAAATACTCACTAACAAAATTTGAAATCTGATAAACTTGCCAGTCATAAAACCACTGTCAAAATAAAAATTAATATATAACATGATAAATTGTTAGGACTAGTATTCTTTCTATTCTCTTGAGTGTTGCCTAAACCCAGTATTTTAGCAACGTGACCTAGTGGAAGGCGTCCCCGCCTGTGGCAGATGGTGTTGGAATCAGATGATCATTAAGGCCTCTTCCAACCCACACTGTTCTATGATTTTATGATATACTTCAGAGACTGTATGTTACAACAGAGACATAAATAGTAAACAATGTGATAACACAGGCAACCCCACGCCATGTATGAACAGGAGAACTTCTATGTGTACTTTGGAAATACAAATGACATATACACCTGTGTTCAGAGACTCAGAGTATGCCTAACAAGCAAACGCATATTCATCTAGAATGGACATGTGAAAATGCAGTAATCTCATCACCAGCAACTTTCTCATGCTGTTTTTCTGACACATGCTAAAAGCCCAATTCTCTTTCTTTAAGTCAAGCTAGTCCAGCAGGGTTTATTTGACTGAAGTGATGGGGAAAGATTGTGGAATTGTACTTCAACCCATGTTTCACTACTATGCATTTATCTGGGAGATAGCAAATAAACTTGCACAGTAAAAAAATCCCAGGAGCATTGTATAAGGCATACAGAGGCTCTAAAAACAAGTTCAGATCCTATTTCAAGGATGGCTGGTCTAAAAATCAACATATTATGATCCCAAAAGCATTCTGTTTTCTTCTTTTAAGGAAACAGCTCAGAATCTTTAAGTTATGTAACAAATACAGATGACATTCTGGATGATAAATACTTGACTGCTTTTCAGTACCTTAATTTTTTTTTTTTCCCATTTGACTTTTGGGGCTGAATTCAATTACAAACCACTTGAATATATGGGGGGGGGGGGGTGGGGGGGTGCGTGTGTGTTTGTTTTGGTACTGTTTTTTCTAACTTACCTAATTAGGAATGGTTGATTTACTTTTTTTTTCTAAAGAATTTTGTCTTGCATTACTGACAGTCATTGATCATCGCATTAATGTTCTTTTAAAAAACATTCATTTTTCAGTTCAATATCGCTAACAAAAAGCTACTGATTTTTAAAATTCTTTGTATTACAGTGAGCAAAATAATTACAACCTTTGATGTTCACTTCAGGAATAACCCATAATAATTATCTGTAAAGTGTATTAACTTCAAATACTAGTCACATAACACTCCATTTACACAACATATCTGTATTACTACTTCCTATATGCAATTATGAAATAGGCCAACATCTAGCGATCATGCCTCTCTGATTATAGTGTGTAAGTTTTCAACTTGGTGTACAAGAAGCTAGAAAATATTGAATACTAAAAGTAAAAAATGCTTTCTCTTCTTATTTTCTGACCTACAGGCAATGAGATGGGAAAGGTAGATTTTATGTTTTGGTTTGGGGTTTTTTAGTTTTTTTTTTCTTAAGCCACAAATGTACTAATGCAATTAATTTAGCAAAATTAACTACATTAGCTAACTATTGCCTGCAATTCTTTTTTACATCATTAAAATTCACAGAGGTTTCTACAGCTCTGCTCACAATTTTGAAAGTTTCACTAGGCAAAATACTGGTCAGGGTAAGATGCACCGCTACACACAAAAGCCCCAATTTCATTTTAACACACATTGCTGTAACCTCTCTCTTCTCCTATCCAAAAAGCATGTCTCATAAAGTTGAAAAAAGACTAATGGCTAGAATATGCTTTTTTTATGTATGTGAAATGCACTGCATCCAATGGGATCATTACATTAATACTGAGCTGAAAGTATCCATTTTTAGACCTCTCTATTCAGCAGAAGAAATGACCAAATCTACTGTTAGATTATGTTAAAGATAGTCAGCACTTAAAGAATTTATTAATGTAGTACATTTTTTAAAAATTATAGAGGGGGACAACTAAGCTGTCTTCTACACTGTACAATTCCTCAGATTTTTCAGACTGCCTCTTGTCAAAGAGGGAAAAGTTTTGTCAGCCTCATGTGCACTGTATATTTTGTAATGTATGTCATGCAACCAGTGGATAAATGAGTGGGAAAATGTTCATCTGTGGGATTAGGTAATTTTTCTATTTACTTTAGTGAGCTACCATGCTGAAGTAATTCACATTGGTAAGTGTAGACTATAGCTGTTTCTAATTTCTAATTCCAGTCAGATATTTACCTCTCTCTGTCCGGGGAGTAGTGGTCATCTATAACACGGTGTCTATCCATTCGGTTCAGGGTATTGTAATGCGCAGGAGTAGATCGAGTCCCTCGTGGTCCCTGATCCACATTCCGACTAAGGATAAAAGACATCAGATTCTGAGTTCTGGGTGTGCCTGGACCATGTCCCCTCACTGGTTTGTACCAACAATTATTAGCAAGCATGGTGGTAGTAAGATGTGTTAGTTGACTTGTCTTTTGTATACTTTGTCACATAATGTTTGTTCTGGAAATGAGGGGATAATTTTATTTTTTTATTTATTTTTATTTTTATATTTTTAAGGGTTGATTTTGAAGAATTTCATTAGTTTTTCCAGTCTAGTGCCTTCAAGGAATATCTCCTTTTCAGCTAAAACATACACCATAAAGAATTTTCCATGAGCTCTTAAGTTTGGCTATACTATAAGGATGTAAACTGTAGTAAGACAGTGAGGACTTCTGGCTGTTATGGTAGAGTGCAGCCTGATGGAAACATTCTCATCTGAATTAAACAACAAATGCTTGTTTTGCATTGGCAATCTTATTCTGTAATCTAATTAGAACAGAATCTGAAAAAGATGAAATTGTTTAATTAGGTATAAGTGGTACACATAGTGCAGGGTTTATTAAAAGGCACCGATCACCTTTACAGTTTTGCACTACTTGAGAGCAAAGCTTTGCCCTTTGATTGTTTTGCTCAGTTTAACTATTAGAACCTACTGACACACTAATTTCACCTTTCCTGGTCTGTAAAACAAATCCACAAGAATAGGAAGATAGAAAGACAACAGATAACTGCAATAATTACTGGATAATTAAAACATAATTGTTTCATACAGATTTGAAATTAACAGTTTGGATGTTTCCCTCCACATAAATTCCAACTTCCCTTTCCTGCAGTTTTCCCTAATTTTGGCCTCAGGGTTTCTTTTAACTTTTATATCATTCAGTTCCTGTGTCCTTCCTTGTCACTGTCTGCCATTTTGGTACCTATCATCCTTATCCTTTGTCATTTGTCGGTCCCTGATTAGTGTTAACCTCTATGAGTATCCTTCACTGCTGCTGCATGCTGCTATATCTGCATGTAAGTGCTATGAAAATGTTGCACTACACATCAAAATTTGCTTTCAGCTCTACTTCATTTCTCATAAAGCATTTCTTCACTCTGGCTTTCATGAAGCCAAATATAAAGTTTACTCTAGCTAGTAAACTTTATATTTGCTATATTAGACTTAAGTATAATTCTTCTACCTTCTACTCTACAGCTCTTTCCTGTAACTTCTCTTTACATGTTTTAACCCCCTTTTTTTACATCAAAATGATAGAAAAACCAGTATAGCCTTTACTCTGCTCTTGGACTCTCTCGTGTATATTTTATATCTGAAACTGACATTGACAGGGCTCCTTTGCTGTTCTTTGTTAACTTTTTTACTTTTCCCAACAACCAATTCTCATTGCTTCTTTCTGAATTCTAGTTTCTGTCTGACCCTTTTCCTCAGGGTCTTCTTTTCATTCAGGTTTAAAAACATATCTTTTTTTTTTTTTTTATGTATGTAGTATTACCACATTTTACTCTTCATTTAAATATTTCTCAAGCTGTCTTTTCTTTGCAAAACTTCACACAGATCTGACCTTTACTGTCTGCCCACACAATCAAGACTGCTGCCTAAGCTCTGATTATAAGTTTTAGTTCTGAAAACTTAGTATTATCCTGTCTACTCAAATAATCTTCATTAAGATTTTTAGATTATTGTTCTAAATAAATAACTTATTTCAATTTCTGTATTATATCAGATTCTGATTTCATGTTGTTTCTTAACATCCTACACAAATGCATTTCTTCTGTTTGAAAGTGTTGCTACTATTTCAGTTCTGTTTCACTTTGCTAAGGACGCCTTTGTCAGCCACATTTACTATTTTAACATAAAATTACATACTTTCTCCAATGAATCTCGTTCTAAAGGAAAAGTTCTTTTCACAACATACATCTTCATTCCTTTGGAACATTCTTGCAGTTGTCAGAACATGCACGGAGCAATCAGATAACAGGTAAGCAGATGAAAAGGTGTAATTGCAGGTGGTGATGGTAGATAATAATGACCATCCTACTAGATTTACCACACCATTTCAGCCTAGCCACTTTACATAACGACCTTCCTCTTGTTTTTTCAAATGCACAGTCTTAGGAAAAGCTAAATATGTTGTACAGTGCCTGCCACAGTCTAAACTCCATTCTTATCTACAGAGAGAGTAACAGTCTGTTAAATACATTAGCTGAAAATATTAAAGTAACAATTTCTTGTCAGCTACTATGTAATGTGGCTTTGGTGGAAGTTATTAACAAAACCATTCATTAGAAGGACTGAGAACTGCAAAATGTCTTCTAAAACATAATAGAAACTTGTACTGCTATGACCAAGAGCTCCTGCCTGCAGAAGGATCAATCAGTAGTTAGGAGGTCTCTGGGCACACAGCATGTTTACTGTAGTTAGAAAATGTCTATAGCAACACATGTATAACAAACGCAACTAAACATGGTGAAAATGTGATTAATAATGTTTACGATTTTGCTGCGTACACTAGATTTTCATCAGAATTAAGAAAAAAGACATTTCTGTAACTGAAGGATTATGCTTCTTTTCTACAAACTCTCAAGTTCTGCAACCCAATTCTCTGGGCTCAACAAGTACCCAAAAAAATGATTCAATTTGTAGGCAGGGAAATATTACATAAACAATGCATTTGATTGTGACACAGTAGGAAAAAAGGTTAAATATTTTTCTCTGTAAGTTCAACAATCTATTAAAAAAAATTAGCTTTAGGAAAGTCAGGAAGCAAGAAACATTTCATACATGTAAAGAAACACAAAACTACAAAAAAATTAAAAGAAGGTTTTTCACTGGTGTTAGAGAAGTGTCAATTATGAAAAAGTTGGGTAAAATTTCTACCCAAAGTGCTCACACCATGCACCCACACATAACACCACAAACACAAACACACAGAAAGAGCTTTTCCTCACATTTATGTCTACATCCAAGACAAATAATACCAGGAGATTTAGCACACACAATTACTTAGACTGAAATTAGGATAGCATAAATCAGAATAGACCCCTTTCTGTCTACCCTTTATGTCTCATTTACAGTCAGGCTGTATTTACATATGATTTTAGATATAAAGTAAAACCTTGCAATTCCTACTGTGAGCTGTCTGTGATCATATAGGATAAATTGGGATCCTAATACCACACTAATGCAAAAGAGTATCATTTAGTCTGTGTTTGTTAGAGGATATGGTAAGTAAACATGTAAGAAAGAGAACACAAAGTCAAGAGAATTTTAAGCTAACAAAAAGAAAAAATGTAACAGAAAGAAAAGCAGAACACAAGAGAATCAGAATGGCTGTAGAAGAAAGTGATAAACACATGTACCTGGCAAAAAATAGTGGATACCAGATCTTCTGTATTAAACGGGAACTGTGAACATTATGAGCAAAGAAAATAACTTCCCCTTTTATTCCAGCTGAATTACACCAGTTGGAAACCTACCCATACATAGTGACAAAAATGCTGGAAAACAGGCTTCATTCCCCACTATATGTATTCTTCTGCTTCCTCTAGAGAAAGCTTATCCATACATCAAAATTCTTAATTTTGGCATAAACAGTATATTCAACTTAGTAGCTAGCATTTGGAAGAAGCAGCCTAATCTTTGTTCCACAAGACATAGTCATCAGAGGCCTTCTAAGATCAGGAGCTGACGTTTTTCAGTAGAAAATAGTATGAGTGTCAATTCATTCTTGATGCTTTAAAAGTTAAAAAAAAAAAAAAAAAGGAAAGTAGAAAGACAGCTACTAAGGGCAGAAAGCATGGCTCTCACAGAACCTTGACTCTACACAGACAAAAGGGTTGAAAACAACCGCTAACAAATGAACGCTAAGAAAATGCCAAACTATCACATTCTATACAACACAGCACCTTCTAAATAGCTCTTGAAAATAAATGTCTGAAGAAATATTTTTTTCCTTAAATTGGAATGTACTGTTTTTTCATGAAAAACAAGACATAATGAGGTAAATTTTTGCACATCAGTATAATGTAAGAAAACATTATTTGCTTTACGTAATTTCATAAGTTTTAACTAAATTACTTCCATTTTTAAAGTCTGGAGATTTTTTCCAGTATTGTTACAGAATTTATACCGCTTAAATTTATATCCCTGCACAGTTAAATAACAGTTTACCTTTGTGGGGGAGGGACACTGGGAGACCACGATCTAGTCCGTCCTATACTATCTCCACGGTGAGGGGACCCTGATCGAGAGCAATGATTAGATGACATAACTTGTTCTGGCACTGATAGTGTTGAACTTTGAAGATCTCTCCCATTATGTCGATAATCTAAAAAGAAATGCAAATATTCAGTAAATCTGAGAATGCAATTTTCTAATTTCCTACCATATCTGTAGTAGTACCATGATAAAAGATGGAATTCAATCAAGAATGTTATTATGTCTTATTTTTTAATAAAAAATACATAAAGTTGATTCCTGTTGTTATGCCTAATTCAAGTACAGTTATAGTTCCTACAGTTACACTCTGAAGTATAGAAATAGGTTGCCATGCATCAAATGTCATTTGTAATAGTAAAAATATCCGAATTTATCATATGTTTGTGGTCAATATGAACTACAAAATTAATAAAACTTACTTTTTTTCTTAGAATAATATACAAAATTGATTTTTTTCTATTAAAATTGAATTGCAATGATTGTGTATAACATACTTCAAACAGAAATGTCCACAATTAAAAACTAATCCAAAATTCAGTTTAAAGCTACAAGAGATTAAATACAGAGTTTGGGTTCAAGAAATATTTGTATTTTAGAAACAAAGTAACAATGACTCAAAGACATCAGGTATCACTCACAGTTCTGAACTTAGAAAACATGATTCCTTCACAAATATATGAGCTAAGGCCACAGAGACACCTGCTTGAATTAGGATAATGGAAAGCATAAACGGTCTAAGCAAAAGCTTTCCCAGTTCTAATAGCTTAAAAGGCTAATACATGGCCATTTTATGTAGGCGTATAAGAAAATCCTTTTTAAAAGGCTGGATGCTTTAGTGACGGTAAGCATCCAATTTCAAAAATTGAATTCACTGTCCCAGGGAAAAAAAACTCCCTATGAAAAAAAGATGCCAGATACACAGTAATTTCAAAGAACTTCCAACAAATTTTATGCAGATCAAATTAATATAGCATGAAAAGAAAACTAAGAATTACAAATCTTAATCTGCTGATAATGTTTTGCAGAAATAGGTCTTCAGACAGCTCCCAGTGGCTATGACAACTGATATAAATGACTTTTTGTTCTAAAGAGAGTAACCAAGTAAATAATACTTAGAGAGGTCCACCTGGCACTGGAAAAATTCTGGCTCAGAAAACTGTTACTCTTTTCCCATGGGAATCTTCTGGGAATCCAAGAGCATTTGGTCTTCTACTCCAGACTGTGCGTAGCTTTCTCCTTAGAAAATGTTTGGCAAGCACCTAAGCAAAACCTCATTAATTCAGCCAATTTTATGGTTCAAAAAATGTTCAATATTTCCAACTGAGTTTTTATATTCATTGTATAGGCTTAGGCCCAAGAATCTATATGAACCCCTCTAATTCATACACAATTTCTTTCTCTGTGTTTGGGGTAAGCTGCTTTGTGTGTGTCTGCGTACGTGAATTCAAGAGCCCTCTGAGGAGCTTTGTAGGCCGCTATCTACCACCCCAGAGAGAAAAACACTGTAAGCAGTTCTAAGAGCTAAGGAGGCTGTGACCCTGTGGGAAGCCCATGCTGGAGCAGGGTGCTGTCAGGTCAGGACCTGTGGCCCTGTGTAGAAAGGAGTCTGCACTGGAGCAGGTTGGCTGGTAGGAACTTTAACCTTATAGGGATGCATGGTGGAACAGTCTGCTCCTGAAGGACTGCACCCCATGGAAGGGACTCACACTTGAGCAGTTTATGAAGAACTGCAGCCTGTGGGAAGGTCTCACAGTGGAAAAGTCTGTGGAGGACTGACTCCTGTGGGAGGGACCCCACGCTGGAGCAGGGGAAGAGTGTAAGGAGGAGGCAGTGGCAGAGACAGTGTGTGATGAACTGAACACACCCTCCATTCCTCGTCCACCTGTGCCACTATGGAGCAGAAAGTAGAGAAAATCAGGAGTGACACTGAGCCTGGGAAGATGGGGAAGGTGTTTTAAGATTAATTTTTTATTTAGAATCATAGAATCATAGAATAGTTAGGGTTGGAAAGGACCTTAAGATCATCAAGTTCCAAGCCCCTGCCATGGGCAGGGACACCTCGCCCTAAACCATATTATCCAAGGCCTCGTCCAACCTAGCCTTGAACACTGCCAGGGATGAAGCATTCACAACCTCCCTGGACAACCTATTCCAGTGCCTCACCACCCCTGTTTAAGTTTTAACCCATTACCCCTTGTCCTACCACTACAGTCCCTAATGAAGAGTCCCTCCCCAGCATCCCTATATGCTCCCTTCAGATACTGGAAGGCTGCTATGAGGTCTCCACGCAGCCTTCTCTTCTCCAGGCTGAACAGCCCCAGCTTTCTCAGCTGATCTTCATATGGGAGGTGCTCCAGTCCCCTGATCATTCTCGTGGCCCTCCTCTGGACTTGTTACAACAGTTCCATGTCCTTTTTATGTTGAGGACACCAGAACTGTACACAATACTCCAAGTGAGGTCTCACAAGAGCAGAGTAGAGGGGCAGGATCACCTCCTTCGACGTGCTGGTCACGCTCCTTTTGATGCAGCCCAGGATACGGTTGGCTTTCTGAGCTGTGAGCTCACACTGCTGGCTCATGTTCATTTTCTCATCGACCAGCACCCCCATTACCCTACTCTGATTTGATTGTTAATAAACTAAATTAATTTCCCCAAGTCAAGTGTGTTTTTTGCATGACTGAACTGGTGAGTGATCTCTCCCTACCCTTGTCTCAACTCATGAGCTTTTTGTTATATTTTTCTCTCTCCTGTCCAGGTGAGGAGGGCAGTGGTAGAGTGACTTCAGTGGGCACCTAGCATCCAGCCAAGATCAACCCACCATTTGCATAAGTGAATTGCAATTTATTATGAGCTTAAGTGGAATGAAATAAAAATAATAATTTACTTTACAAATACACATGACAATATTGTCTATTGCCTATCAAAATATTCATACCTATAGATATGAATACCACAGAGATAATTCTTAGTATTCTGCACACACAGGGAGCATTTGTAGCATTTGGTAACAGAAATCATACTGAAGAACAGTTATATGAAGAATTGGGAAAATCCTTTTTTTTTTAAAGTCTAACATTTAAATCAGCAGTTTTATACAGTATTTGGTATGTACAGTCAAAGGGGAATGAGCAATAGCATAAGGTATTTTACTTGAATGAACATAGTGAAAAGCAAGGAATTCAATTAATGAAACACAAACAAAAACCTTCTCTAGAAAATCAAAATAATTAAATTTACTAAATTTGTATACATAAATTAATGACTTTGAAACAAAAAGCCTCCTCCAGCTCTACCTTGTTATTGCAGTTGATCACTTGCACATTATTGTTCCAATAAATCAAACTGTATGACTATTTGATTAAATTGTCATGTATAATCCTGATCAAAAAATGTTTTACATTAAATTAGAAGCAGAAATGCCATACTTTCTGGTAACTAATGCTGGTAGTGCTTCCTTATATAATTTCAAAAGGCAGAAACTATCAGCATCAACAAAACTAGACATTAAGATGTGTTTGAAGAACAAATTAATATTCTCTATGCCTTGCTGCCAGAAAATAACTTTGAAATGCATAATTAATTCAGCCAAAACAAAACCTACTATAATTATAAACAGGTCACACACTGAAAAGCAGCAGTTTCAGGAGGGCAAGCTACAACATGAGTTAATTCTAGTCATCTTTCAATTTTGTACAGTTAATGTACCTCTCTGCCTTACTTCACACTATATATTTTCACTAGCTAGGAGCCAAATCAAGATAGAACGCTATCTCATACTGAAAATAACCCCATCAGATTTTCACAGCTTTCTGAGTGAGGTGTCCCTGTCCATGGCAGGGGGGTTGGAACTTGACGATCTTAAGGTCCTTTCCAACCCAAACTATTCTATGATTCTATCTTGAGAATTTAAGATTTTTATTCAATAAAACTGTCCGTTCTATAAAGTTGCAACACCAGAAAATATTAACATGCATTTAATGTGGAGAGAAAGGAGTTTAGGGATAGATCCAGTAAGGTTCTTAGGTTTCTTGAGCATAGTCATTACCATTCCGGCACTTTACAGCCAGAACAAAACCTCAGTTGTAAAGGAAGATATTTAAATTGCATGAATATGCGAGAAAATTACATATTTCAGAAAAATGACTGAAAAACCTACATGTTGTTAACACAGGCACATAGATTAAGCTCAGAGAAGATGCCATGTTTTGAACTTAGTTGCCAAAATCAAGAATGCACAGAAGATGCTTCCAACCACTCAGCATCCAAAGTCCTGCATTTTCTCTTGACATAATGTGTGCGTATATATATTTATAGTATATTTATACATTTTGTTTTTAAGAATTAAAAAAGGATAAATTGAAAACTGTTTATTCATTTCCTGGGAATCTAGGAAAAATGCTAGGCTTATGTAAGAGCTAACTGACTAGTCACTTGGACTATGCCAGTTCTGAGACACACATTCAGAGAACAGAAATATAACCATAGAATCATATAATCATAGAATAGTTAGGGTTAGAAAGGACCTTAAGATCATCAGGTTCCAACCCCCCTACCATGGGCAGGGACACCTTGCTCTAAACCATATCACCCAAGGCTTTGTCCAGTCTCACCTTGATCACTGCCAGGGATGGAGCATTCACACCCCTCCTGGGCAACCCATTCCAGTGCCTCACCACCCTTACAGGAAAGAACTTCTTCCTTTATATCCAATCCAAACTTCCCCTGTAATTTTTAACCCATTACCCCTTGTTCTGTCACTACAGTCCCTAACGAAGAATCCCTTCCCAGCATCCCTATAAGGCCCCTTCAGATACTGGAAGGCTGATATGAGGTCTACACACAGCCTTCTCCAGGCTGAACAGCCCCAACTTTCTCAGCCTCTCTTCATACAGGAGGTGCTCCAGTCCCCTGGTCATTCTCGTGGCCCTCCTCTGGACTTGTTCCAACAGTTCCATGTCCTTTTTATGTTGAGGACACCAGAACTGCACATAATACTCCAGGTGAGGTCCCACAAGAGCAGAGTAGAGGGGCAGGATCACCTCTTTGGACCTGCTGGTCACGCTCCTTTTGATGCAGCCCAGAATACGGTTGGCTTTCTGGGCTGTAAG